CTTCTATCCTATCTATCTATACTATTCTATCTATCTATCCTATCTATCCTATCTATCTATCTATCTATCTATCTAAATCTATCTATCTATCTATCTAATCTATCTATCTATCTATTCGTCTGTCTATCTATCTATCTATCTATCTATCTATCTATCTACTCTATTCTATCTTCATCTATCTATCTATCTATTTATTTAATCTATTTATCTATCTATCTATCTATCTATCATTCTATCTATCTATCTATCTTACCTATCTATCTATCTTATCTAACTATCTATCATTCATATCTAATCTATCTATCTATTTATCTAGCTATCTATCTATCTATCTATCCATCTAGATCTATCTCATCTTATCTAATATTATCTATCTATCTATCTATCTATCTATCTATCTATCTATCTTCTATTATCTATACTATCTATCTATCTATTCTACTATTATTACTCTATCTATCTACTTATTTATCTATGTTATCTATCTATCTATCTATCTATCTATCTATCTATCTATCTATCCTATATATTCTATCTATCATATCTATATCCTATCTATCTAATCTTATATCTATCTATCTATCTATCTATCTATCTATTTATCTATCTTATTCTATCATTATCTATTCTTCAAAAAATCAATCATCAAATCCATATCATCCATCCATCTCCATCCTCCCAATCCATCCACCATCAATCCATCCATCCATCCATCCATCCATCCATCCTCCAATCCATCCATCCATCCATCCATCCATTCCATCCATCCATCCATCCATCCATCCATCCATCCATTCCATCACATCCATCCACTCCATCCATCCATCCAATCCATCCATCCATCCATCCATCCATCCATCCATCCATCCATCCATCCATCCATCCATCCAGCCATCCATCCATCCATCCATCCATCCATCCATCCATCCTCTCCATCCATCCACCATCCATCCCATCCATCCATCCATCCATCCTCCGATCCATCCATCCATCCGTCCGTCCATCCATCCATCCAGTTTCCAAGTCCATCCATCCATCCATCCATCCATCCATCCATCCATCCATCCATCCATCTATCCATCCATCCATCCATCCATCCATCCATCCATCCATCCATCCATCCATCCATCCATCCATCAATCCATCCATCCATCCAACCATCCATCCATCCATCTATCCATCCATCCATCCATCCATCCATCCATCCATCCATCCATCCATCCATCCATCCATCCATCAATTCATCCATGCATTTATTTATCTATATCTATCTATACCTATCTTAAGCGTGAGCACCTCATGCGGTCGGGCGTCTATACGAGATAATTAAACACATGATACGGCACCATAAATTAAAACCATTTAAAACGTAACTGCGACATGCATGGCGTCTATATAATAGGTTAACTTTTACGAGTATTTATTTTAAAATAATTATGATCGGCTAAACAAAATCCATTATTTAATTACGCAGAAGAATTATAACGACGGCAGAAAATAACCGCTCACGCACGCGCACCCGCTCACGTACACGCACACGCACGCACGGACGCACACACGCACACACGCACGCACGCACGCACGCGCACACACTCATACACACAAACGTTAGGGGGGAATATTGCTTCGTATTTCATGTAACGTGACATGCAAAAGAAAAAAGATGACATGAAAATATATAATGATGATGATATATATATATATACCTGAAATATGAATGAATGAATAGTAATAACATCAGAAATGATACATCTAAGAAACCATGACTTGCTGTTTCCGGCTCTCATTCCGCCCTCTTTTTTCCATCACTCGTTTTTTTGAATTTTCTTCTCTACTGCAAATAATATAATATTTGTTTGCTGCTTCAGCTGAACTCTGTATCTGTCTTCTCTAGTCTCATCGCTTCCACGCTGGTCCCACCCATCTCACCGCCCCACCCTCCACGCCTGCTTCTTTCGCCATCTCATCACCTAATCTTTATCCCTTCTCATCCTCCTCGGGCAGTAAAATAATTGCTCGCGACTAGCCCTAAAGTCGAGTACATTCAATACGGCTCGTTTCGACGGGCGAGTGATAGCGCGCGCAGCAAGCGGCAACACATGTAGTCGTTTAGGCCACATTCGCAGACGCCGTGTGTGGCGTGTCGAAGATGGCGGCAGCAGCAGCGGCGGCGACGGCATTTCATTCGGCCACCGCACGCTCTAATTGCTCAATCCGCCATCACCTCGTCCGACCCCGCACCGCTAGCCAGCGGGCGAGGATGCCGTGACTGCCTGCCTGGGCCCGTAGGCGCTGCCATGCGCGGGGAACCAGCGTAGACGTGTCGGGGGGTGTCGCCCCACGCTCGGGTGTGGCGGCGGGACAGCAGCAGAGAGCGGGGAAGAGGAACCAAGCGCGAGCTGCCCCACTCAGCTGTGTGTCCCGCGCTTCGCACAAAGGAGTATCGAGTTGCTCAAATGTTGATTGAAATCGGGTAACCCGTCACAGAGTGGTCCGTGTTCGTGAAATTGCCGGACAGTGTGTGTGAGTGACGGGGGCGGATAGAGAGGCGAGATGTGCATGCGTGTCTGTCGTGGGTCAGCGTGATGTCACCGTGAATGCAGTGAGTGTGTTGGGGGGGATAATAGATTTTAAATTAGCCATTAATCTTAGTCTAGATGGCGACCAAGATAAGGAGCGAGAGAGAAAGAAAGCGAGAGCGAGCGAGAGAGAGAGAGAGAGTGAGAGAGAGAACGAGAGAGAGAGAGAGAGAACGAGAGCGAGAGAGAGAGAGAGTGAGAGAAAGAGAGCGAGAGAGAGAACGAGAGGACGGGGACGGGGGAGAGAGCGAGAGAGTATACACACACACACATACACACACACACACACACACACACACACACACACACACACACACACACACACACACGCACGCACGCACGCACGCA